CCCCCCCCCCCCCCAAGCAGCATGGGGGCGGGGGGCACCCCATCACTTGTGCCCAGCCACCACGCCCCTCGCCCATCTCCCTCACACCTCACACAAAGACAGCCCCACAGCACCGGCCCCTCGTGGCGGCGTGCATGTCGCGGCATCCCCCCCCCCCCCATTCAAGAGCATGCCCCCGGTTGCCGCCGCCGCCCACGGACCGCCGCCATCCCACAACACCCTCCCCCCTCCCTCCCCCCTCCCGTGCCTTGTTCCACACCCCCTCCCTTCCCCCCCCCTCCCCTCCTGCGCTCTCGCCGGTACCAGCAGCCATGGTTGTCCCCCAGCGTTTCCTCACCTTCAACAGCATGTTCGACCTTGCCCTCGCCGGGTCGATCCTCCACCCGCAGACCTCCGAGCAGCTGCGGCCCCTCCTCGAGCAGTACCTCTTCCCCACCGCCTCCGAGGCGCTGCGTGCGTTGGCCCCCCCCCCCCCCCCCCCCCCGCCGGCTTTCTGTTCCCCTCCCTTGCCCCGCTGTTCGATGCACGAAGCCCTCCTCTCACACGTCGCCCGCTCCTCTCCCCATCCCCCTCCCCGCGACCCTCTCTCGCGCCGGCCGCAGTCACCCCCTCCTTCTACCAGTCGCTGGCTCTCTTCATCGGCGCCCTCGGCGTCACTCGCCTGCTCTTCGCCCTGCTCTTCAAGATCTCCCAGGGCACCGGCTTCCTCTTTGACCTGTGCCGCCGCCTCTCCTTCGCCACCTACCTCGTGGAGGCCCTCGGCTTCTATGCCCTCAACCGCATGGGCATCATGGCCGACTACCCGACCTTCGGCGTGATTGGCTTCTGCCGTGCGTGTGCCGATCCGCGTCCTTCTCTCCCTCCCCTGCGCCATGCGGCTGTCCTCGTCCGGTCATTGCCCCCGGCGAGACCCATCCCTCCTTGGCCCGTGACTGACACCACTCCTTCCCTCTCTCTCTCTCTCTCTCTCTCTCTCTCTCTCTTTGGTCGATGTCCACCACGCGACAAAAACACGACACACACACACACACGACACACACGCCACCCTCACCCCCCTCCCACACAGTCCTTGCCTCCATCCTCGTTCGCAACATCGAGCGCGTCTTCCCCGACCGCCCGCACGTCGTCCCGGCCCACGCTCTGGAGCTCCTGCGCAAGCGCAAGGAGGCCTGCCTTGCCGCCTCGACCGCCGCCGCCGCCGCCGCTGCCCCCAACTCCTCTTAGATGGGGTGTGCGCGTGAGAATGCGCCGCCCAGAGCAGCATATGCATGTGTGGTGTGTGTGCGCGGGGGCGCGAGAGAGCGAGAAAGGGGCGGCGTGACATACATCGCTCGGGGGCTCCCCCCCCCCTCCCCCCTCCCCCCTCCCTCCCTCCCCCTCCACCCTCAGACATGGCAGCCAATCCCCCCCCCCCCCTTCTTCCTCTCTTCCTCACATTTTTGCACACGCCCATGCGAAAGATAATAAAAACAATCCGCCATACCCTCGGTGTAGAAGTCCTGCGAAGAGGGGGGTGGCTCACTGGTGCAGCGCATGCACATGTGTGTCCTTCGTGTGGATGCACATGCTCGCGCGCGCGCGCGCGTGCCCGGCCGTCCCCTGCGCGCGGCTCCCCTCCCCCCTCTTCCCCGGGGCGACGACGCCTTTGTGCGCGCGACCGCCCCGCCGGCGAGAGGGGGCCAAACATGCGGGCGCGGCTGTGTGCCCGCGCACCCGCGGCGTCGGGCTATTTTTCTTTTGTTGTCATCTCCGCGCCCGGCATCCGCGTGTGGCACGGCCTTTGGGCACCTGATTTCGGCGCCGGTGCCGGCGCCATCCAGAAGTGGAGACGGGCCAGACTGCCGGTGGCGCATTACCAGCCGCATCTCCCCCGGCCGGGAGGGCCCCGGGCGCGGCAGGGCCACGCGCTCCGGGCGAGGTCACGCCGCCCTGTCTTCGGCGGCAGCCCCGTCACGCGCGCCCCGGGGTTTAGCATACGGCATGGGCGCCCTAGGCCTTTAGCTTCAGACAGATGCCCACGAATAAGACCGCCCGGGGTGGTGCGTGCGTGCGCGCGTCCGTACGCGCGCGCGCGTGTGCGGGACCGCAAGTCGGAATATAATGCGGCACTGTCGCCGGGCGCGGTGATGGCACGCGCCCGCGCGCGCGCCCACGCAGCCGGGTCAACACCCCCCTCCCCCGTTGCCCCCCCACCCCCCCCCCCCCCCCGGCCCCGGGCCGCCATGTGCGGGCCGGGCTCTCCGGCGCGCCCTTCCAGCACGGCGCCGGAGGCCGCGCTCCATGCAGATAAAACCAGAACCGCGCGCGGCATCCCGGAGCCAGGGGGGGGGGGCGCAGTGGTGGAGGCGGGGCGAGGGGGGGTGAACAAGCGAGGGCGACCCCCCTCCTGCTCCGGTGCACGCACGCGCGCCGCGTCCGCGCGTGAGAGCCCGCACGGGCGCGAGCGGCCACACAAAAGGGGCGCGACGGCCGCCCGGCGGCGGCGGCAGAGACGCGGTCTGGCCGCGGCGGCCCGGCCGCCCCCCCTGGTCCCCGGGCACCCGGAGGCGGGTCACCTGCCACCGGTTACATTGGCATCAACGTATTTCGCGCCACCCCCTCCCGACAGAGCCCCGGCCGACCGCCCCGCGCCCGCACCCCCCACACACGCACGCACGCACGCACGCACACACCC